GGGACCCGGAGCTGCCGCATTGGGGGAGGACGAGGAAGAGGAAGGGACGCCGCCGCCGACGGAGAGGAAACCCTCCACCCGGGCATCCGACGGCGCTCGTTTCACCACATCCGCGCCTTCGCTGGCCGCGCTCAGGGGCGCCTGTCACCGGCCACCTCCATTTTGAAAGGGAAAAAGGCTCTCCCCCCTCCCCCTCCCCTCAGGATCCGTAGCCCGAGGAGCCGCGTCCATGGCGTTCAGCCCGTGGCAGATCCTGTCCCCGGTGCAGTGGGCGAAATGGACGTGGTCTGCAGTGCGTGGCGGGGCCGCCGAAGACGACGAGGCCGGAGGGCCCGAGCGAGACCCCGAGGAGGAGGACTCGCAAGCCGAGACCAAATCCTTGAGTTTCAGGCAAGTACACAGCATCCCTGTGGAGGTGCAGACGTGCCGCCATCCGTTCGTCCTTGGCTCATTCTGTGTGCGTTGTGTGTGGTCGCCCGCCCGCGGAGCCACGGTTCGCGGCAATGCTACGCCCCCCTCTGTCACCGCTGTGCATTGAGAAGTTCGGGGTGCCCTGCCCGCCTGTGTATCTTCTCGCCCGTGTGTCCGTATGAGCTTTCGAAATCCAACCCGGAATCCGATCTGCGGTGTCTGCATCTCCGTCTGCCGTGGTCACTTTCTCCTAAGCTTCACCCGCACCCCCCACGCCACCCCCGCTACCCCCTGAGACAGATAACACACATTTACACATTGACTCGCCCAGCGAGACACACACACACACACACACACACACAGCCTTTGATCACTCATCCCCTTTGGGACCCTTAGACCCAGGGGAAAAGTCGCCCCCACCCCGCCCCTTGAGGCCCCCCTGTGTCCCCCAAAATGCAGCATGGTAAAGAAGGTCGCGTGATGACGGGCCCTTGGCAGCTGGTGAGAAATGGTGGTCTCTGCTGAGCTGTCACCCGTGTGATTGCCGAAGGCAGGTGACAGCATTCCCCAATCAGGCAGAAGGAGTTCCAAACAGGTAGAGGCCTGCTGAGGGAAAAGGCAGCTAGGCGAGAATTAGTTTATTTGTGGTGGCTTATGGGCTTAAGAATCTTTAAGCCTATAGGAAAGGTCTTTTAAAGGTGTGTGTTGGAAAGAGGTTGGGGGAGCACAGTGGGGGGTGTCAGAAGGAAGGATGGCCTCAGACATAAATGGTGCTAGAGGAAAAACTGCAGAGGATTGAGGAGATTTCCGGGAGGATGGGATGCCTGACTCAGAAAGCCAAGGAGGCGCTGCTAGGAAACCACCACAGCCAGCCGGCCAGTCAGTCCCTGCAGAGGACCATTTGGCCGCAAAGTTAGACAAAAATGGTGGACGTTAGTTTTTGTGGCTAGCTAGATTTTAGAGTGTCAGAAATGCCGTTGAAAGTGGTAATTCCTCATTTTCCCCCTTGGCAGCTCGGATTCTGAAGGTAATTTTGAGACACCTGAAGCCGAAACACCCATCAGATCGCCACCGATCAAGGGACCCTGTGCTTCATCACTGGGATTGACAGAGCCTAGGACCAAAGCCCAAGGTAAAGATGAAATGTTCATGCTCTGCCTCTTTTGCCTTAAAGTGTTGGAAAACGTTGTATGAGAGAAGAAGAAAAAGAAGGAACTTAGGACCACTTCAAAGGGCTTGTGGATCCTTTACTCTTTGCTCAGAAAGAGCTGTTTTGAAACTCCTGGCTGATTTGAGAGGATA